TAAGAGCTGGGTGACAGAGTGAGGAGTTTGGAGCCAGGGAGATAAACTTGGCTCAGCGGATTAGAATGAAGGAATGTTGTGAGATCCAGAAGCTAGACCGGACACAGGCAAGGATTTTTCTAACATGAACCAACTCAAGGAAAGGAGTCTGGCTGACCAGCCCAAAAGTGAGGCAGCCATGAGTAATTGTGAGAACCAATGATTAGAGCCACAGCAGAAACACCATATCAGAAAGTTACTTAAGAATTTGTTTTATGCAGGATCTAACAAATCAGGCAAGCAATATAACCAATAAGTCTTTTTTTTTTTTTTTGGTGGTTCTAGGTTTTGAGCTCAGGGCCTACACCTTGAGCCACTCCACCAGCCCTTTTTGTGATGGACTTTTTTCCAAGATAGAAACTCACAAACTATTTGCCCAGCTGGCTTCGAACTGTGATCCTCCTGATCTCTGCCTCCTAACTAGCTAGGATTACAGTTGTGAGCCATTGGCACCTGGCACCAATAAGTATTTCTTAAGCAATCTGCTGTGCTGTATAAAGAAAGTTCTTTAGGTATCCTTAATACCTAAATACACTACCTGACATATTAATAGGACTACAGAAATAATTAAGTCTATTTGAACACTAAAACTATGGAAACAAGAAGATAGCTTAAGCAATTTTTAAAGTTTTTAAACTGAATTACAGCATGCAGACAGGATCCAGTGAATTACAAAATGAGCACACCTATGTGACCACCACCTAGACAAAGAAATAGAGCATTACTAGCCCCTAACAGTGCCATCTCCTAAAAGGTAACCTGTTACGTGTCAGAGATCAGTTTGCTTTTGAATTTGCTGTAAGTAGAATCATACAATATGCATTTTTATTCCTGAATCTTTAAATTCAACATTGTTTTTTGAATATTTATCCACATCATGCAGCTATAGATCACTCACTATCATTGCAAATAGTATTCTATTTGTTTAAATACACCAAAATTGGTGGGTGTGGTGGCACATACCTGTAACACCAGCACTAAGGGAGGCTGAGACAGGAAGATCATGAGTTGAAGGGCAGCCTGAGCTACAAAAGTGAGACAGTCTCAAGAAATAAATAAATACAACCAAAAATGTATATAATATTGATGTTCATTTTTTTTTTCTGATTGGAGGGTATTGTAAATAAAGCTGCAATAAGCATTATGTTTTTTGGCGTGTGTGTGCACATATGTATTGACTTTTATTGGATATAAACCTAGGAGTAAAAAAGTCTAAAAAAATGTTAATGTTTTAATATGTTTGATTTATAAGATCCTGCTTCAGACCTTGTTGGGGTATTTATAACATACTTACTAACTTTCTATAACACGCACACATAACAATCTGAATTCTGAAATACATTTAGATTTTGGAGGGTTCATGGGCTGCATATATAATATAAAGTGCACCTGTACCATAATTTGATCTTTTTTCCAACCTACTGCCTTAGTAAGTCTGATTAGAAGGTTATCTACGTATTCACTCATTAATCCTAGCTACTTTTTGAGTGTATTTGTTGGTATATTCTTTGCCTATTTTAGTTTATCGAAGAAAACACCTAGAGAGAAGTGCTACGATGGCAGTGAATGGCAGAGACTGAGGTTTCAAGACACTGGAGAGGTTTCAAGACACTTACCGGAGAGCTGGTAAGGAGCCATGCTCTTGAATCTGCCTTCTCACAACCACTCAGACTGGTGGCCATACTTTGAGAAATACCACTTTTAAGGCAGTTTGAAGTTTAACTGACGTGGCTACTGTGCTTTGCACAAGTCTAACATCCTTAATATAGGGTGTGCTTTTTTCCTAAATGCAACTGTAGGTTAACCAAGTACATGATCTTACACTTTGGATACTTTGGAGTGCAATCCAATTATAATAAGTTTGACTAACTATCATTACTATTTACTCAACAACTTTTTGTGTACATAAAACCTGCCCAGGGTTAGAAAAAGATTGGAGAGTACTTGGAAAAATTTCATTCTTCAGACACTAGCAATACCTGAGGATATTTTCACACCATCCTGTAGCAACGAAGTTTTTAATGACAGGAATATGAGTAATGTAGGCATTACTCATTATTTTGTGAGCAAATAAAGGTGCTTTGTTTGTGAATTACAATATTGAACACATTGTTTTTCCTTTCAGATAGACTCTGTTTTTGGAATTCCTGCCCACAATAGAATCAAAGTCAGGGTCAGGAGTGTTCATTTTGATAAACGTACAAAGTCAGTTAGTCTCAGCCTTTTCCTTTAACCAGTCCAGGATCAATGAACTTTTCACTGTGGGAAAAGCAGCACCACAAAGCGTGACAGTTTTTGCTTTTGTTTTAAAATTTTTACTCAGATATCCTGGCTTCTGCCACAACCCTTGGATTTTTTTAAAAATTCCTTTTGAGAAACAAGAGTGTTTCAGTAGTTGTTGAATTTGGAACTTGGCTTGTTATATTTTCTTTTCCTTCTTTATTGTACTTATAACTACTGTATTCATCTTACTTATGCACTTACGATGTCTCTCCCTCTGCTTCATAAATTCCAGAAAGGAGGCTTGCTCTGTCTTATTCAATGCTTATTTAGCACAGAGGTGTTAAAACACAATGAATGAATGAATGAATGAATGAATGAATGATCAGACAAATGAACAAACAAATGAATGGCAGCTTTGCAGGTCCTAAGCTGCGCAGGATGGCAAACACTCTTTCCTCACTCAGTGATCCCAGATTTGGCCCAGGAAGCTTTTTGAACCCAACAGTCGGCATCAGTCATTGGGAAATGGCAAATGATTAAAACCTATCAGCTGGGTGCTGGTGGCTCATGCCTGTAATCCTAGCTACTTAGGAGGAAAGAGCTCAAATAGTCTGCAAGACCCTATCTCGGAAAAAAAAAAAATCACACAAAAAAAGGGCTGGTAGAGTGGCTCAAGGTGTAGGGCCTGAGTTCAAGCCACAGTACCACAACAAATAAGTAAAATAAAACCTATCTTATAATCTTGGACTACATGAATGCCTTTGCAGTCTCTAATCCTAATATTCTAATTCTGTGCACCAGAAGGTAAAACAGCTAAGACATTTAAAAGGAAGGTTAAACCAAAAGATTTAGGGAGTATGCTTTGTTTAAGGAGTATAAGAATCTACCTGTGACAGCCAAACTTTTCTTTAAATGATCATAAAATCAATTGTTAACAAAGAAAATCATTTCCCCATACAAATACTATACTTAGGGAGATACATCATTGATCAATGACTAGGTCTCCTAAGAACTGCTAAAAACAACTATGGAAATGGATACAACAAAACCCTTTGTTAAATGAAACAATCATTGGCTAAGTTCAGTACAATGGGTTTTGCCTATATTATAAACTGGTTACACAAGGGACCTCGACATGCAAATCTGTATGACAAACCGAATCTAAAATTTAAAAAGCAAACACCTCACTAGGATAAACATTTAACTAATGGTTTGTACAGGCTCTTAGCTGGTGTTATATGCTGAACTGTATCCCACCAAATTCTGGGTTAAAGCCTGTAACTCTTAGTGCTTTAGAACCTTGATTGTGACTGGACATAGGGCTATGAAAGAAGTGATGTTAAAATGAGGCCATTAAGGTGGGTCCTATTCCAATCTGACTGGTGTCCTAATAAAAAAGGAAATTTGGAGACATATAAGAGACACCAGATGTGTCTGTACAAAGGACCTTGAGAAGACAGCAAGGCCAATTGCAAGCCAAGGGGAACGAAATCAGGGAAGAAACCAACCCTGCAACAAACACCTTGATTTCAGGCTTTTTTCTCTAGAAGTGTGAGAAAACACATTTCTGTTGCTTCAGCCATCCAGCCAGCAGTATTTTGTTATGCCAGCCTCTCACAGTCGTGTTCAACTTACTTCAATAGACCCAACAAATGTTCAGTCTGGCAAGCTCCTACCCACTCCTTCCATGTCTGCCAGCCCTCAACTGGGGTTTTGGAACATCAAAACCACCTTTTAGAAGAGAGGCCAAGCTTTTCTGTTCCTTGGCATTTTAAAAGAGGTGTATGGGAGGGAGGGGGCAGATTTTCAATGTGGAAAACAAAGGAAAAATTTTATGTGAAAAAATTTAAACATGCCAGAAATAAAAACTGACCAATTAACTTCCACATATCCCTTTTCTACCCACCAAGCACTAAAATTTTACCTTAAGTGCATCTGTCTCCTCTCTGTGCCCTCCTCCTTTCCCCTTTGCTGTGGGACCTTTTTTTTATTAGTATTTTATTGACTGCAAAATGACACTATGGAATTAGTATACATTGGTATGCCATTATAAGAATTCATATTGATTAATACAAAGGTAAAGAAATTGAACTCTGAGACAAAATACTTATACTTTTTGGAATCTCACACTCATTTCATGGCATGTGTTTCAATAATCTAGAGAACAATTTTATTCCATGGAAGGTACAGAAGTTGCAAGACAAATATTGTTCTAACTTGTTTACCTATGTTGTCATAACTTTCAAATTCAATTATACTTTTCCATTGAGATAGAATTCATATATGTAAAATTCATCCTTTTAAATTGTACAATTCAGTAGTATTTAGTATACTCAGTTATTCAAGAACCACCATTTAATTTCAGGTGCCAGTGGCTCACTCCTGCAATCCTAGCTACTTGGGAGGTGAAGACTGGGAAGATTATGGTTCAAGGCCAGCCCAGGCAAAAAGATCACCAGGCACCATGTCACCCATTAAAAGCTGGGCATGGTGGCTCACGCTGGTCATCCCAGCTATGTGGGATGAAGCATAAATAGGATTGTGGTCCAGGCCAGCCTGGGCATAGATGTGAGACACTATTCAAAAAACATCTAAAGTAAAAAGGGACGGCGCCTGGTTCAAGTGGTAGAGTGCCGCTTAGCAAGCACAAGGCCCTGTGTTCAAACCCCTGTACCACCAAAACAACAAAACCAACAATGGCAACAAAAAAAACCCCAATATCCATTAGCATTCATCCTCCCTCTCTCTCTCGTTCCCTGGAGATTACTAATCTACTTTCTGGCTCTAAAAATTTGACTACTCCAGACATTTCACCTAAACAGAATTGTACATGTGGTTTTGTGTATCTCACTTTTATAATTTAGTCTCATATTTTCAAGGTTTATCTTTGTTGTAGCATGTATCAATACTCATGACTTTTTATAGCTGAATACTATTCCATTATATGGATATACCACATTTTATTTACCCACTCATTAGTGGAGACATCATGGGTTATTTCTTTTTCACTATTCTGGACGCTTCCAGAAACACTGATGGACAAATTTTTGTATAGACATGATTTCATTTCTTGGGATAAACTTAAGAGTACAATTACTGGGTTGACAGGGTTTAACTTGAGGACTGTCAAACAGTTTATGCTCTATTTTATACCAGTAACATATGAAGGCTCCAGTTTCTCCAGATACTTTGACTACAGCTCTATTGGTACAGCCATCACCACCACCCATCTCCAAAATTTTTTGCATCTTCCCATATTGAAACTCTATACCCACTAAAACCTAACTACCCACTACCCCTTCCCCAGCCTCTGATAACTAACCACCTTTCTATTTTGTCTCTATGAATTTGATTACACTGGCACCTCATATAAGTGGGATCATACAGTGCTTATCCTTTTCCGACTAGCTTATTTCACTTAGCATAATGCTCTCAAGGCTTGTCTATTTGTATAGCGTGTTTCAGAATTTCCTTTATTGTGAAGGCCATATAATATTCCATCGTATGTATATACTACACACTTATTGATGGACACTAGGGTTACTTCCACCCTTGCTATAGTAAATACAGATGCTCCTTGGCTTATAAGGTATGTCCTGGTAAAATCTTTGTAACTTCAAGTACCATAATTGGAAAAATATACTTAATATACTAACCTACCCAGTATCAGTTTTAACAATACAGTAGCAAATAGAATAGGTTGACAATCAGCTGACTTTAAAAATAAAAAAATTATTTTGGATTATCCTTTCAGTGGGCCCAGTATAATCACAAGGATTCTTCAAACACAGAAAAAGTACAAAGGGTGTTAGGCATGTAGGAGACTCAACTAGCAGTCTGGAGCCCAGCAATAAGGACGACTTCTAACATCTGGAAAAGGGAAAGAACTGCTTCCCCCAGAACACCCAGGAAAGAAGGCAGCCTTGCCCACACCTTGCTTTAGTTCCTCGAGGCCCACTGTGGACTTCTGACCTATAAAAGAGTAAGGCAGATTTGTGTTAAGTCAACAAATTTATGGTGATTTGTAACAGCATAACTGAAAACTGACAAATATCAAAAAACTTGAAAAACACATTCCAAAAATTGCAACAAGTTTGTACATAAATAGAAAAAAAAATTGTGTAAATCCAGTAGCAAAAAAGCAGATATATACAGCAATTCATATAATGGAACGTTAGCCACTAAAGCAAATCTTTCCAAAAAGAATGTATCCACATGTAAAAAAATATTCCTACTACTGTATGAACAGAACAAGATTTAAAATTAGATATATTATCCATTCACGGCTATAAACCTAGAGAGAAAGACACTCAAGTAGTAAGTGTTCTTAATTCTACATAGTGGAATTCTAAGATTAGCTTCTTTGTTCGTTTCCAATTTTTCTTAAGATCAAAAATAACTAAAAAGGGAAAATAAAGCTGGAAAAAAGAATTCTCAGTTCAAGATATAGAGAGTACTAATGATTAAACAACATACACAATGCCGGGTGCAATGGCTCATGCCTTTAATTCTAGCTACGCATGAAGCAGAGACCAGGAGGATCAAGTGTTCAAAGCCAGTCTGAGTGAACAGTTCAAAAACAACCAACAAAAAGTAGGGGTGGAGGTGTGGCTCAAAGGGTAGAGTGCCTGCCTAGAAAGCGTGAGGCCCTGAGTTCAAATCCCAATACCACAATTAACTCAAGAAATATTCTCATTTTTAAAAAGTACATGTAGATTTTAAAAAAGAATCTATACCAAAAATGTTAACTGGTGTTAACTCTGGGTAGAATGCTAACATTTTGTTTTCTTTGTGCTTTACTATATGTGCTTTCCTAAATGTTCTACAATGGATATTATGGTACATTTGGAATTACTGTCTGAAATTGCTAAATCAGAAACAGCTATATAAGCATCTTATTTAGACAAGGAATACTCACCAGAAATGAAAAGTGGTTAAAGTGACTCCTGAGAAACTGCAATAAGAGGGCAGGTAGTGCTCGGGAGGCTGAGGCAGGCAGACTCCCAAGTTCAAGGCCAGTCTGGGCTATTTAGCAAGACATTGTCTCAAAAAACAACCAAAAACAAAAAAAGAAAAGGGAAAGTGAGGGCAAGAGATGACTGCCTTCTGTTCTAAAACTTTTCATACAATTTATTCTTGAAAGCAGATTAAGAGTACGGTAAATTTTCAACAATTGATAAAAGTATTTTATTTCTTCTAAGAATAGGAGTGTAGGCATCTGCCTGAGAAACCTACTAGCTGTCATTACTTGTTCAGATACATTCATTACATCATGTACACTCTCACTGCATAATCCAACGAGATTTACAGAAATTATTTTCTAACTACACTGAAAGTATATTTAAATTTAAATTTAAATAAAAGTACCAACAAAAGCAAATTTATTTACACTAATTACAAATGGTACAGCTGAGACGTTCTTCTGAGACTTCCCTTTAAACGAGAAGTTTTACTCTGAAATGTGATTCACATTTCGTAATCTGCCACCTTTTTAAAAAAAAAAAACTTTAAAAAATAATTCCCAGAAGCCTGCTGATGACAAGTACACAGGTCAGTTCCTTCACATCTATTTCCAGAACTACTATGCACAAATCCAGCACAGCTGGGACAGGGCAGCATGGGGCAGCACTGAACTATTGAACAGTACATTTTAACTAATCCCCAAACATTTGCCTCGCAGATTAAGAGCTAAAACGATTTTTTCTGGCTGTAAAAGAAAATCCACTTTGATTTTTAATGGGCTGCACAATTCCACCATGGCCAGTATTTATGTGGCTGCTCCTCAGAAGAGAGCAGCTTATATTTCCCCACTACTGTTTTAACAAAATTCTATGGTATTCAGTGCTGGGTGCTGCCTCACAGGTGCTTCTAGTCAGAGTCACTGCTGCTGCTTGAGGAGTCTGTTGACATAACCTCCACATCATCTTCATTTTCTTTATTGTGCCCAGGAGGTTCCAGCAAGAAGTCATTGCTGTGATTTGGTGGTAACATGTTCACTGACATGTCATTTGACTGCCATGGATACTGCGGAGCAAGGACATCTGCAGAAAAGAAACCAGCACACATCAGAACCATCCTATTGTGGTTAACCCACTTCTCAATTACTATTCCTTTATACAATTTGAGGGTGTGTGTGTGTGTGTGTGTGTGTGTGTGTGTTTTGTGTGGTGGGGGTGGTGAGTGCGCATGCTAAGCACATGCTCTATCATGTAGAGCTATATCCCAAGTCACTGAAGTAAGTAAAGCTAAAAAAACAAAAACAAAAACAAATACACATTATGCTAAATTAAGGAAGGTCAAAATAAGAAGATCAAGCATGATGTGTTAGCAAGTAGGAACCTGTTATTTAAAAAAAAATACTACTCTGTAAGAAACTATTCAAATATTTACTTTTTCTTTGGTAAAACATTTATAATTACAAAATCAAACATTTCCTGTGTTCATGAATATATATACATGTAATATATAATTGTCAGGTCATATAATTTATTCTATATATTTGAAATGGGTAATAATATCCACTACTTTAAGTATTATGATAGATTTAAATAACTTCTTAGAAGACAGAGAAGCTGCTATTGAAATAACTGATCGGAGAAGTTGACTGGCAATGGATGTTAAGAAATACCTTACAAAAAAGTGCCTAAGTCACAAGAAGAAAAGAAAAAGAGCAAAGAAGATGTAGTTTATTATGAAGAGAAAGAAGGAAGATTTAAAAAGAGTCAAAAGACAGTTATATTAATGAGAGGAGTGTGCTTCAATTATTCTTTCTGAACCCTAAAACCATTTCTCCTGGGCTGGCTGTTACAACATCAAGCTTTGAGTAGAGGGCACGGGTGGGACTCTGCAGAACAGGCTTCATGTCTGTACTAAGGGCGGTTTTCCCTTTAGTCCTGCTGGGTTTTGGTTGGTGTGCAGGTCAAGTGACACTCAGCCCTCAGGAACTTTCATGGGCATTGCAAAGGTGGCTTCCTAGTAGGTTTTACCACAATTCCAAAGGGTGGTTTCCCAGTAAGTCTGCCAGAACCCCAGTGTGTAATTTCCTGCTTGTCAATGCTAGCTTCTGAAACTCCATCTAACTTCTCTGTCTTGGAGGCCACAGTTACACCATACCTCCAATGATGGTGCCATGACATAATGCCAGCTTTGGGATGGGGTTGGGAGGACCTTTCCATGGACCCTGTGCCTTGGTCCCAGATAAAATATGTTGCTATTCCTGTACTTAAAAAAAAAAAAAAGTTCTCTTTACCCCTTAGCAGTACATTGTTACTGGTTAATAATTCTTTCAATTTTCCTGTTCACAGTCTCCGATTGGACTGTGACTGGCATACAATCCAGTACAATCGCAATGAGAAAGATGGGGAATATCAAAGGAAAATAATATGTGCACAGCTAGTTCTCAAGTCTGTACTTAGGAAGCTAATGGAAATAACATGCTGAAGAGACTGCTCAGAACGGGAATGTTTTCCCCTTTTAAAAATGTCGCTTTCTACTTTACACATGTTCTGCCTCATGGAAGTCACAAAATTTGTATTTATTTTGCATAGCATGCCTCACAAACAAATAATAAAAAAGGAAAGGTCCAAAGCTGAGGAAAATGAGAACGTTAACAGATAAGGGAGAGAAAAGCAGGTTGGCCTAATTTCACAACCTCCATCTAGAAAAGTAAACAGCAGAGAGCAGGGTAAACTGCCAGACAACCCAGCTATTAAAATGGTTGGACAATGGAGTTGGGTTTGGACTCTCGGATGTCTGCAGCCAGCTAGCAGCTTGAAAATATTCATTGGGGTAACATTACCTGGCAGCCTGCCTGCTGCGAGTGCATCCCCGGGTAGATGTCCATTCACGCCATTAGTGGAAGGGTTGTTCATCTGACCCAACAACCCACTTCTCATCTCTAAGTCAGTTGGGTATGGTCTTCGTGGGTCTCCTAAACAACAAAGACTGCTTTTAACTCAACCATGTTTAAGAAAAAATAAAAAAGGATCAGTAAGTTCTTTGAAGTACTAATTTGCCATGGTTCACATATAAAAACTCAACGTACATTTTTAGTTTGAGGGTTTTGTTTTTGTTTTTGATCACACTAGGGTTTGAACTCAACTTTGCATCTGCTAGGCAGGTGCTCTACCATTTGAGCCATGTCTCCAGTCCTTTTTCGTCTGGTTATTCTGGAGATAGAGTCTTGCCCAGGATGGCATGGACTACAATCCTATTTTACACTTCCTGCCATAGGTGAGATGACAGGTGCACACCACCCGCCTTTTTCTGTTGAGATGGGGCCTCATGAATTTTTTTGCCCCACTGGCCTCAAATTGCTCCCAAACAGCTAGGATTACAAATGTGAGCCACTGGAGGCCAGCAGCTTTATTTTTCAGATCAGATAGGGTCTCCCTCTCCTTGCCCAGGGCAGGCCTCAGACTGTGATTCTCCTATCTACACCTCCTGCATAGCTGGGATTACAGTGTTGTCTACCATGCCTGGTTTATTTGTTGAGATGAGGTCTTGCTAATTTTTTGCCTGGGGTGGCCTCAAACCTTGATCCTCCTGATCTCCTACTCTTGAACAGCTGCAACTACAGTTGTGTTTTACCACTCTGCCCAATTTTTTTTGACACAGGAGTCTCCCTAGGATCCTTCTGCCTCAGTCTTTCAAATAGCTGGGATTACAGGAATGAGCCATTATGCACAGCTGAAGCTGCATTTTAGATTTTGGAACATGAAGGTCATCCTACAAGTGTTAAGAGCATTGTATACTGTTTCTCAAAATGCATGCATTTTTATTTCTCTGAATCTTCCCAAAAATATACCATTATCTATAGGAAAAAAGCGAGAAAAGATAGTTGTTGTAGCAAACATTCCAAATGATAATGCCCTCAATTCTTCTAATTCAATTTCATTTTCTATTAAGAGAAATAATGATACATATTCTACAGGAGACCAGATAAGACCACCTATCAGAAAGGACTAGAATGCTTACTGGAAGGACTGTCTAAAGTAAACCCTTTTTCTAGTCAGCCTCTTTAATCTTGTCACCCCTATAGCTTTTGAGTGGAATATCAGCAGCAGGTATTGTCATTTCTATTATGAAAGAAGACTAAATAGTAGTCTGGGTTGATGAAAACAATGCCAGTTTTGGACAACTTTTTGGTGATGATTCTCACCAATTCCACATGCCTTGCCCAAGAATGTAGCTCCCCTTAGTGCTTTCAGCACAGTGAAACTGTACCTTTATGAGTGACTCAAGTTGAGACAACCATCTCTCATTCTTGGGTCTGCATCTTTTATATTTTATCCACTGTCAATACAGTTACAGTCTACTACTCTTTACTATTACTAATTACTCAGCTCTTTCCACACCTGTGTGTTTGCTGTTGGATGCTCATCACTTTGCCTAAATTTAGTACCTAGAGAGTGTTGGGACTGTCTGTTTCTCAGGCTGGATCCTTTGTGGAAATCCTAATGACTCTGGCCAGCTGTTTTTTTTATTTTTTCCCCTGCCAGACAACTTTTTATTACATCAAAACGCAACACTCAGCACTCAATCTTATTAAATATGTTCTGAGCAACTCTCAATTTTCTGAAATTAAAAATGCATCACCACATTTGTAAGGTTTTTAGAGAACAAAATATTAAATACAAACTTCCATATGCAAAATAGATTATTGTACAGCTGGCAACTCAGAGCCAAGTACTAAATCTTCTTCTAAATTTCAGTGGAGGTGGAGTAGGAGGATGTTAATGAGTACAAAACTTAATTTTGGTTTAATATATAGAAAAAGAAACATTCTGAGGAAAAATAGTAAGTTAAATAGTGTTTTTGTTGTTTGTTTTTGTGGCAGGACTGGGGCTTGAACTCAAGGCCATGAGCTTGCTAGGCAGGTGCTCTACCACTTGAGCCACTCCATCAGCCCTTGAATAGTGTTTTTTGAAATAAACAGCTCAGGCTGTTAATGCTCAACCAGACCTGGAACAAAAATGGAAACTGAGGGTTACAGTTACTTCAATTCAGTTTCAAGAGTAAGCCAAGTCACCTCAATTCCAGAAAAGGAAATCTCTATAAAATGACCATGAGGTTCTTCTGTAGGTACATGGCCATGTTTCACAATACAGTAGTGTCAGACTCCCTCTGAAAGGCAACCAGGCCCTTCCCACAGCATTTTCACTTCTCCTGTCATTTTCAAGCCTCCAAAAAGAAAAAAAGGTCCCTAACTTCAAGATGGTAGCTACTGCTCCAGCATTAAGAGAACTTAATGAAACTTTCTTGCCCTGCGATGTCCTATCTTCAGCAAGAAATGGCAGTTTGATTAATGTTCCTTTCAGAAAGGAACCTGTTCAACAAATAATTTAGAGTTAATTGTGAAAGAGCAGTGGGAAATGGTCACCACCCAATGTTTGCAAATGAATACACGTAAACAAACACACAGAAGTTAACAATTCATAGATTAAATCCTGCATTTCCCATATTTACAGAGAAGTAACTCTTTAAAACAGAAATATGTGAATTAACATTTGTTTTGTATGGGCTTAATAGCCTTATAGACAGTGCTGCAAGCAGCCCTCGCACCCCAAGTCTGAATTACTGTACAGAGGCACCTTTATGCACTTTCGACAGCTCAGTACCTATAAGAGAGGAGAAAGGCCCACAATGTATACGGTTTATGGAAATGTCCACAAAAGAACCACCAGCAGCCAGAAAGACCATGTGGGGCAATGTCACAGCAACTGCTGATGAAAGATTTCCCACACTATCTTATTCTAGAAGAGCAGCATCTGGTGCTGAGTAAATGAGGTAGACTTGTCCCTAGGAATGCAATCTGCGTATGTATCAGTAAACATTCCACGATCACTCCTATTCATCTGTTGAGGATTTTCATGTGGCTTCAGGCTATAGTAGGTCTGCTCTAGAAGATTCAGATCAGTATTTCTTTTGGTCTTACTTTTATCTATAAATACTGAAGGAGAATTTCATAAATGCTGTGGCCCTTTTGTCCCATAGAATTCAGATTTTTTTTTTCTTTATGGTTGTGCTGGGTAGGGGTATACTGTGGCAATTACAGATTCTTACAATGTATCAACTGTATCATACTTGAATTCACCTCCACGCTTTCTCTAAATGTCCATCACCACAAGGCTGTAACGCACCATCTGACAAATATACACCAGAATAAATTCTTGTTCAAAGAGATTTACCCTTTTGGTCCATCTTTTTAGTGCTTGGTAACCCCCAGCCTTAAATTAGGAGAATGAAGTACTGAATGCACGAAGTGCTAAATAGCATTGCTTTTTCTTTCTTTCCAGTAGAAGATTTCATATAAAAATTAATTACCTCATCATTGAGCCAGTGCTAGTTCTTTAAGGTCTGGATATCTCGAGTAATTCATAATTTGAAAGCCTACTTAGGATCTCATCCCGTTGGCTATGGCCTAGGGTATTACTGATTTCCTTTTCCATGTCTTCTATAAATTCGAGCAAGAATTTTCAAAGGAAAATTCTTTTCCTTTGCCTCAAGTATTGACATTTTTCCTCCCGAGTAAGACATGATTTCCCCTGCCAGGGTGGAGTTGGGGCAGTACTTCTGATAGGTCAGGTTCCAGCTGGTATTCCCTTTTACTTTCACTTTCAGTTCTGATTCCAGCCATTTTTTTCTATATCACAAATTTCCCCCTTAAAACATCTCTTTTCACTTCTCATTGGACCAAGAGGTCCCCTTGTTTCAACAACTCTATACTGTTTAGGAGCTGTTCTGACTCTGATTCTACTCTTCCACCTAGCTTTGGTCTTTAATGTATCCACCTGGCTTCTTTGAGAACTCTGAAGTTAGAGGAGGGACAGCGTTTTCATAACCTCCTTCTTTAAGTCACTTCAATAGCCTTCAGTACTTCTCTCTGGCCTCTTCTTGAATAACCTTCTCTATAGCACAAGGGGGATACCTCAGACCCTGCCACTCTCTTCAGAAATCACCTCTGTTATACTTCCTGACGATTCCATGAAAAGGAACTCTCTGGAATAACTTTGCCAAGGCAACAGCTCCCTGGTCTTCTATTATAGCATTCTGATTTCAAAGTGAAACCTCTGCTCCTTGGATAATCTTATTCCACTACGAGATTTATTACCCAGTTTGAGCATGTTGTTCCAGGATCCAGAACCTGTCAGTTCACAAGATGAAGAGTTTGAAAATACTCCCCTGAGGGTAGAACATTTGTGTTCTACTATGAGCAGAAGTTACCATGGACTTGGTGGTCAGCTGGAATAGGAATCCAAATAAACTGACAGCACTGTAGTTTTTTATTTGGTGAATAAAGCAAGCTAACCTAGATGTTTTAGCTGGTATTTCAGTCCACTATAGAAAACAGCACTGTTTGGAGAGCCACCTCTTTAGAAGGGCCTTGACAAGGAAGCATCAGTAGGTCACACAAAAGGACAATGGTGGTGCCATTAATCCTAACCAGCCTGCTGTATATACCAGGACTGAGCAGCAGTGGTGGCCAACAAACTCTGAACACAAACCCCACAGCTACAGCTGCCACTGCTACTTTTGACACCTTGGCCACCCTAGCCTGGGTTTCACAGCATATAAATCTACTGTTTTGGAAGCATCACATACAAACCTATACTTTTCAAAATTAGTAACTTATTATTTCAAAAATAGAAAGAAACATAGTGCCCAGTGCCAATGGCTTTGTAGAAAATCAAATTGAACACGCATCTATCTATCTATCTGTGACATTCAACACATGAAAATATCTTTATTAACAGATGGTTTTAATATAGAATAAATACATTCTATATTTAAATCTATTCTTTACACTGATAGCTAAGATTTTTCAAAATCATACATATCTAGTATAACAGAGAAACATTTTTACCTGGAACCCAAGTCAGTGGGGCACACACAGCATTGCTTGCACTAATCCTATGTGCGTATTTAATTATTTCTTCAGAAGAGATAGCACCTAAGAGAGTTAAAGAAACAGTTAATAGTTTAATAAACATGTAAGTTTAGAAGTGCATACATCACAGTTATACACCACACTTATTTTTAAATTATCTGAAAATAGGATAATCTCAGCCACCTACCTTCCATGACCTCACATGATATATACTGTAAACGTAGGTGATAAATATTTCCAAATTAAACAAGACACTCATTCAGCAAAATCAGCTCAATTAAAGAAACAAATGAGAGACTAGCTGGATAATGCTCAATAGTCTCAATAACTACCATCAAATACCATTGCTCTTCTGAAAAGCAACGAAGAATACAAATACAGTAGAGCAAACAGTGCTTTCATTTTCCAATGACAAGCAACCTATGAAGTCAACGGTTCACATTGCTCTATGTGATTAACAAGGCTTAATAGACCCGAGTAGAAAGATGTACAGTAAGTCCACCTTATGCATGGATTTTTTTATACATGGTTTTGATCAAGAGCAGTACAAGAAAAAATGATAAAGAAATTCCAAAAAACAAAAAATTAAATTCCTGTGTGCAGCTCAGCTGATGCAAAGAAGCTCTCAGTAAGTCCCGTGTTATCGTTAGTTGTGTTTAAACCATCGTGTGATCTACTGAGTGCTTTCCTGCTCTGAATTTTGTGAAAATTTGCCTCTCAAAAGCAGGAGAAAAATTAATGTGCTTAATTTAGGATAAAGTGAAAATATTAGGTTTGTGGAAAGGCAGCATGTCTTCAACGGAAGTTGGGTAGGATTATCGGAAAAATGAATCAGGCACATGCAACTCTGCATCCTGTGCATATGTGGCTTTTTCCTCAAAGGTGGTCACCTAGGAACTATATATCCATGGATACCAAGGGTATACTGTATGCAATGTATTCATTATCAATAGAGTTGCAGATAGAAAGGGTAGGTGAAAAAGCTGCTGAATATGTAGAGCATAACTTGACTTTTGTTTTAAATACATGTACACATTTGTATTTTTATAATACACTTACTCACAGAAAAAATCTGGAGAGACACACACCAAACATTAATAGTAATTATCTCCAAGAAGTGAAAACTCACTTTTCATTCATTCAGTGTCACAAAGTACATGTGTATGTGTGCAAAATTTTTGAGGACTAAAAACAAAACAAAATCATGGTCTAGATTTCAGGTAGCCAGGCTCAGTCGCCTCTTCTGGAGATTTGTTTCCTACCACAAGAAGGTCAATCCACCATCTCTGTTTTTTCATATGTACCAATCAAAAAGTAGATTCCCAAAAAGACAATAAATTTAGGATGATTAAATGTAAATCAAGTTTATAAATCATTAAAGGCAAGCAACCAAACTTTTAATTACAATTCTCTTTTTAGTGTGTGAACTAAAAGATCCAATAAGAGCCATGTCATAAAGCCTTTTAGGCAGGCATCTACCACTTGAGCCATTCCCCCTGCCCTGATGTCAGCCTTTTAGAGGAGGAGAGCAGGGCAGGAAGGAATGCTAGGCCTCCACACCATAAAGTCCTTGCATCCCACAGCTACTTCTAGCTCCCAGTTGAGTTGTTCAATGGATATTCTCTTTCATTCTGTGCCAGTCTTCAAGATCCAATTCAAATCCCACTGTTCTTTCCTATTTCCTACAGTTTTATCAACCATTGCCTTTATTGTACATTGAGTACATAGCCATAAATTACCTTCTGTTATTTTTTTCTTATAACCCAAGAAAGGATGTGAAACTTCTATCTCCCTAAGGATGCCTACCTATAACAAGGCTAAGACATAACAAAATAAAAATTTATTGGGGATCTTTTCAACAGCAGCTAATGATTACCAGTAATATTCTCATCAGGTTCCTGAAAGAAGATGAGTTTTTCAGGTCATCCAGTCTTCCCAAGGTACTAACCTTTTCTTGCTTTTTCTATTGACTTGAGTTTCTCTTTTGCTTGGTAAACAGCTGTTGCCTAATTTAAACAGCATTAAAAAAAGAAATGTGATTTATTCTTAACTCTATCAAGCATGGTGAGCGAAAGATTACTTATTCACAGGAACAATTTCAAAACTTGGAAATCTCTAGAATCTATCTGTAATATGTTGAAACACCATTTAGTACCATTAATACTACAGTTATAGTTAATGAAAGAAATAATTACATTCGTTTATTCAGTCTCCCATTCACAAATACTTGTTAAAAATAAAGTATAAATTGGAGGGTTTACATTTTCTTTTTCCCTTTCAGTCATTTATCATAAACATGCAGAAAAGAGCCAGACTATGTACTATGTATCACTCAAAAGCATCCTATTCTTGCATCTAGGTCAAGGATAAAATACCTAAGAAAAATGTTTTTCTGATTCTGAGCCCAATGCTGCCCCTATTGCCAGCATTTGGGATGCTGGGGAAGGAGGACCACAAGTTTAAGGCAGCTTGGGCTACACAGTGAAACTGTGGCTCAAAAAAACCAAAACAACCAAAATCAAGGCTGGTAGTCTGGGGGAAGGGAGGAAATTGCATTTTCTTTTTCTTTCTCTTCAGTGGTGGGAAATGAACTTAACCCAGGGCCTTGCACATGTTAGGCAAGCATTCTACCACTGAGCTATCTCTCCAGCAAATACATAAATAAATAGAAGTAAAAAGCTTTTCTAGAAACATGCTTGGATTTATCTTTTTATTCATTGGTATATCTCCTAATGCTTAATGATTGCTACCAGCAAAGCATGCGCCTTGCCCCCTAAACTCACTAATGGCAAAGTGAAACCAATTAACCTAGTCTATGTATACCCTCAGTGGTTAGGAGTATGAAGTCACAGAGACCTAGACTTAATTTGCATCTCTCTATTTTTTAACTTCATTAGGCAAGGTAGTTATTTAAAGTCTGGGTTTCTTCATTTTACTAATGGTTCTGATGTTATGTAAGTTGTTATGAAGACTGAGCTAATGTATGTAAAATGCAAAGCATTAGGGCCTGGTCCCTAGGCACTCAATCAAAATTACTTATTACTCTCTACTCAAAAAATCCACTCTTATGGTCTTTATGCTGTCTTTAATTCAATAATTACATTTTTGGAAATCTGATTTAAATATAACCCAAAATGCAGAAGAAAAAAATTTATCTGCAAGAATATTCATTAAAGCATTATTTATGACACAAACTTGGAAAACTAAACAAAGATATTACAATTATATGGAAAATGCTTTATGTTTTAATAAATAGTAATTTATTAAATTATAATTACACAAAGGTAATTATTGTAATTACTGCCTCCTAATTATAATAAAATAAAAAAGGTAAGTAAAAAAAAAAAAAAAAAAAAAACAGCTAAGATTAAAAGGAAACAGACCAAATTGTGAAAAGTGATATTGTATGAGTCATGGAACTTAAGCAATTATTCCTTCTTCTTTCTACTTTCTGAATTTCTTTGTATGCTTTTCATAAGAAAAAATAGATTTTAATATAAATGCATTTTTTAAAAAGCATTTACCTGGGGTTGTCCCTGAAGTAGGAGTGACGAAGTTACTTAGAACCTCTCAGGATCCTACTTATTTTAGTACACTTTGGCACATCTTTGAAGAAACTTATCAGGGATAAGGATGCCAGCAATTCTGATCCATATGAAAATCAAACTCAGCTACATTTGTAATACCTCTATATGAAAATTACATTACAAATAAATTGCCTCTTCAAAAGTCAAGAATGACAAAGTTGAAAAACTAGAGTTGGTCCTTGACACATGTAAATCACTCAGTTTAAGATGGAGGACCAAATAAATTATTGTAAATTAATGCATAAAATTAGTATATATTTTTACCAATTTCAAAATATTTTACAAGCTGAAATCTTAGACTATTAATACTTGAAACATTAGATCATGATAAAAGTAAAACTTCCCATTTCTGTAATTCAGTATTATGAAATCTTTTAAAAATTATGAACTCTTTAAATAATGAAAATGTAGTTCAGTAAGTAAGTGTACAGTAAGTAAGTGAAAAGGAGAACGGCAATAAATAGCCTTTCATTTATGTCACTTTCAGACTTGGAAGCCAAGTTTTCTGCCTTCTGAAATACTGATAACAGAATGATTTTTTAGAAACAGATTAAATAACATCTGTTTCACTGTAAGACCAACCATCAACTCACCAGTATTTGTTCTGCTTCCTTCAGTTGTTTCTGTAGCTGCTGAATATCACTGTCTCTCTTCTCTACTTCTTTTTCTAAAACTTGCATTTCATGATGAATTTTTCCCTGATTAAGGGCCAATTTCATTAGTTCTTGAAATTCCCCATCTCGGTGAATTAACAGCTCCAGGACCTGTCAGATAACAGTCGACTAAATCAGCCAATAGAAGACTATGTTGCAATGAAACAAAGAATATCCAAATTGGTTAGGCTATGAAATTTTAATACCTCCAAAATACTATTCCTAATTTTTGTTAAAAAAAAAAAGAGCCTACCTATCATTACTTTGAGAACCAGACTTAATATCAAGATTTTCTACTTTTTTCCTGTTCTTCTTTCATGCAAAACAAAACAAAACTAGCAATATGGCTGGGGACCAGTGGCTCACACCCGTAATCCTAGCTACGCAGGAGGCAGAAATCAGGAGGATCACAGTCCAAAGCCAGCCAGGCAAATAGTTCATAGGACTCTATCTCAAAATACCCAACACAAAACAGGGCTGACAGACCAGTTCAAATGGTAGAGCGCCTGCCTAGCAAGTATGAGGCCCTGAGTTAAAAAAAACCCTAGCTGTATGCCAAAATCAGCAAGTTTATTCACTTCCAGGTTGTCATGAGGGGTATCATGCATGTTAAGTATTCTCAGAAAGATAAAATTCTAGAAATACAATGTAATGGAAGTCCTCTCAAAATTTGGTAGTTGAGATGATTTTAGGTAACACCAAGAACTTTAAAAAAAACTTTTACAGTTATACATCTGTACTAACATATACTAGAAAAAATAGACCTGGAACACAAAATCTGTGATTTTACATATAGTATTGCTTACAATGAAAATGGTCTAAAAAAAAGTAATTTGAAAACAAATAAACAGGTAGATACTGGGGGGAGGAAAAGCCACAAAAGTTGAAACACAAAAAAGAGAAAGTCTGGGCTTCAATCTCTAGCCCTTCATTTGCTCAAATTATGCCATAGGAAAAGTTACTAGCCTCTCTGAGCTTATTTTCTCCTTAGGAAGAGATATACTAGTAATACCTATTATAGGTTGTCATAATACATGTTACAACATCATATAATGCATGCAAAGTACAATCAGGACAAGCTCAGCAAAGGTTAGTTATCATCATCATCGCCCATTATGAAATTAAGATGAAGTCAGCCTTAAAACACTTCCATTTTCTAAAAAAATCATAAAAGGCAAAACCCACAGGCATACTTCAAGTTCCTTATTTTTGGCTGTAATGGGGCTTGAACTCAGGGCACTTGCTAGATTGGTGCTCTATTACTTGAGTCATGCTCCCTTCATTTTTATAGGACATCTGATACGACAGAAAACTAAGCTACAACCTCTGTCCATGTGTAATGAGTATTCTAACTAACAACAGAAAGCTGTTTTTGAAAAGAAAAAAAAAAAAACCATAGAACTTGTTCAATAGACATATAATCTCCATATTTCTTCCCAAGCCATAGGAGAAGAAAGCCAAATTTTCCTTTCTATAAAAGGTACCCATAGGTCTGGGAGTGTGGCCCATGGTAGAGTACTTGCCCAGCATGTACAGGCCCTAAATTCCACTCCCAGCTCGGGAAAAGAAAAGACAGGTATATTTTAAAGTTCTTATCAAAGCAAATAAGTTCCAAGACAACTTTCAAGAAGTACACACAATTGCTGAGCATGGTGGTACATGCTGGAATTCTAGCACATAGGAATCTGAGGCAGGAGGATTGAGAGTTCAAGGTGAGCAAGACCTGTACTCAAAGAATCCAAAAAAGTATACACATAACACAATACACTGTAATTTGTATACTACTAGAGAGTAAAATTCTCTTTATTGTTCAGCAGGAAAAAAATTATTCAACTAAACAACTAAAAATCAGAAGACTTGAGTTCTAGTTCCACTTATCCATAAGCCTCTAGTCATTTGTTCACTGGAGCTTAATCTTAAAGGAGGCTAAACCGAAGGCCATTAGGATCCATTCTATCTCCAAGATTCTATATGAAATTCTAAATATTCAAATAAAACGAATAGTGGCTAGAAAATTTTCAAATGGGCACATCTCTATCTAAATATTTAACAATTTCAATGAAAATAACACAGCAATCTAAGGTACCAGGTACAAGGTATAATTTGCAGAATTACTACTCCATAACAAGAGTAAGAAGGTTAGTGTTGATGACATGGGCCTCAGTTACTGCCTTCTACACCATGTCCATGTGCCTGGCCTGTAGCAAGCATTTGGTAAGTACCTAGGAAACAAAGTCAAGCCTCAAATTTCACTTCTTGCACATTTGAGATAAACTCTTACCTTATTAAGTACTCATGGGTATTTATTAATAGAGTATTTGAGACCAGGTGTTTTCCATTAACATATCTCTAGTCTTTATTTTTCTAAAAACAATACAAAAATCCTAATACTGCATCCCTAAGGCTGAAAGCTTGTTCCACCTTCTGGGCTTATCTGAATTCACCCTCTCTTCTTGAGAGAATTAATCCTTAGAGAAAATAGGCTTCCTAACACTTCTGCATTTGGCTCACGAAACCTCTCTGCCCTCAAAACATGCTGTGGGATAAAAGTAAGATTATGACGAGGCACATGATGAGGAAGTCTATTATATAACGTGTCATCTTCTTTCTTTAAAAAAGGTTTTAAGTAATACCTTCCTGTTCTCTCACAAAGTAAGAATAATTAGGAAACTTGCAGAAATGATCATTTTTTGAATTGCCTTTTAAATTAAAAAAGAAGTCACTTACCTGGTTTTCCTCTCCGGGCTGTAACAACTTTTGGTTTCTTGAAATTGCCAGCATTTCTATAAGTTCCCTAAAAGATAAACAAATCAAGAAATGAAATCCTTTGTGAAATAAATACAATAGGAACTTTCTTATCTGCTCCCTGCCCAACTGACTGTGGGGCTCAAGGTCCTTGTAGCACGCTGGACACTCATGGCTACTGCCCTGCAGTCCACTCTGCACTTCAGTTCCCACCAGCTACAGTGCGCTCTCACCAGAACTCAGCTGCATTTGGCACCAAACTTATTCACACAGTTTTACTTACTGTCACAATTACATAACTATCTATTAAACAACTACCAATGAAATATGACTGTGAACAGAAAGAATTCTCTCTGTAAAAGCCTAAGCTGAATGCTTTGAGACTTGATAAAGGTTTGCAAAAGACAATTGTAAAAAATCAGAGAAAGATCAGACAAACTCAGAAAAGGTCTCCCTTAAGATTGCTTGATGAGAGGATAAGTTTTCATCTCACATCAAAGAAACCCACCTAGAAAATGCAGACAATGCATCGTGAGTGAATTCTACAAGAAAATCTACTTTATCAGAGCTCTACAAGTCAAATCAGCCTATGTGCTGTTTTTGATTTCTTGGAAGACGGTTTGCCCAGTGGTTTGTACATGCTGATGGCTGCTTTCCCTCTGCAAAGGCAGAGTTGGGTAGCTATAGTACAGACCATATTGTTCCCAAAACCCAAAAATACTCACTGTCTGACCCTTACAGAAAAGTCTCCTGACCCCTGTCTCATATGAAAAGAATAGTGAATGACCATAATAAATTTTTTTAAGGTTAAAAAAAAAAAAATTAAGGAATGCAAAAATGAATCATTCTTAAAGATTCTTCACTTTAACTGAATTTATTAGACAGACTTTCATCAGTTAAGAGAAATACTTATAATAAAATAGAATGCTGATGTAATAAATACACTAATTTTCCTATATGGAAATTCATATCAGGTTAGGAAAATCTGATCAAGAAATAGTATCAGGCAAAATGTATAGCTGGTGATAACTGCATGTTACCTTTAAACTTAGTGACAACCAGGACTTTTTGAAAATTACCCAAGAGCTGGATGCAGGCTCAGTGGTAGAGAACCTGCCTAGCATGCACAAGGCCCTGCACCACAAAAATTACACAAGAGGACAGCTACGCCAAATACTTCTTGCTGGCTGCCATGCTACTTTTACATTCATATTTCCACTTTTCTTCCTGCTAGCCTCATACCATTTTTCTGGATGATGCCAACTGTGCTGAACCCTATCTATTACTACTTTCCCATACTACTGTGTATGAATTATTGAATGAATGAAAAACTGGACATAAGAATGCAGTCTTCATTCCTTTGTTCGTTAAGTGTTTATTGAATACCTATTATGTACAAGGTACTTCTAGATACTTAGGTTATAAAAATGAACAATGGTACTTTAATCCTAATGCAGGAGACAAGAATAACAGAGAAGAAAAAAAAATCAGAGTGAAAAGGTTGAGGAAAATAATAATAAAACATAGGTGTGTTACATTAGAGACTGCTGGCAAAATGGGTTAGCTACTTAAACTGAGGCCCCTAGAAGTCCATATCTTTGAAGACAAATTAAACAAGAGAAGCCAGTCATGAACTATGGGAGGAAAGAATGCTGGACAGAAAACATAGCAAGATCAGTGGCCCAAAGATGGGTTTGAGGCTGTATAGCTAAAGCAGAGTGAGCACCAAGGAGAGGGACACAAAGTAGGTAGGGAGGTAGCACTTGTAGTCACAGTAAAAGATTAGTGTTTCATTTTAAGTGCAGTAAGAAGTTACTTCACCATTTTAAACAAGGAAATGACATGATCAGATTTATATTTTTAAACAACCACTGAGCTACTTAGTGAACTGACTATAAGAGACCAGAATGGGAAGCAAGTTAGGTGCTTTTTGCAATATTCCATACAAAAGACAGCAATAGCTTTGATCAGGTCCTCGCCGCTGGAATTTAGTGATGGAAACAGGAGAAACATGGATAGATTTAGGATATATTTTAGAGGTAGAACTAGTAGAACTAGCTGATGGACTAAACTGATATTGCATGAAAACAGAATGTAACATGAACCTTTCTTCTAGATTCCATAGATGAGAAGTTGTGGTGATCAGAGTACATATGATGAGAGATGTGTTTTTCTTGTAAATTTGGGAATATACATTCACAGAAAGCCTTACGAGAACTGTCTTATGCATGGGAGTACAGTGAGGAAGAAGTCCTACCCTGCCACAAGAATGAAAGATGTATTTGTGGCATACCAAATTAGAATCCAGCCACATTGTCCCACAGAAATGTAATTTACAAAGGGTAATTAGAGCCTATATTACTGGTGGCCCTATACTTTAGGTGAACTATAGGTAAAGAGAATTAATAGACTGGTACGGAAACCTCAGGACTATCAACATGGTTTCTGTGGGACAGTGGTTCTCAATTACAAACAGGTTAAGAAAAACTTAAAAGCCTGCAATCCATGTTTCTATTTCTTTTAAATACCTCTAGAGACTACCTACTTCTGTTACATCTTACAAAGTAATAAATATACTGAAAGGCTATACAAATTTGATCCTAAATTTCAAACCCACTGTTTTTCTAAAGTCAAGAGAGTCAATATAAAAATATGTAAGGTACATTTGTGAGTTTTTCTTTTCATGTTTTCATAAAATGTAACTAGATAAAATTTCATTCAGGAGGATAATGAATAACTTCACAGGTCACAGGTCACAGAACTATGTCTGAGTAAGCACATACTGGGGCTTTTCTGAAAGCTCCTAAAGCAGCTTCATTCTTCGGAGACATTTCAGTGGCCACTGGTGGCAAACCATAAAGTGCCATGATTTCCACCTCCACTCCCGACCGTCTTCAGGATCACAGAAAAGGTTAATTTTCAATTACGCACTGTTTATCTTTAGGGACAAACAAATAAAATAACATAGTGGATAAATGATTTGAAAAGAAAAGAAAAACAGGGCTGGTGGCATAGCTCAAATAGTAGAGCACCCACCTAGCAAGTGCCAGGCTCTGAGTTCAAACCACATTACCAACTTAAAAAAAAAAAAAAGAAAAAGCCGCCAGGCGTTGGTAGCTCATGCCTGTAATCCTAGCAACTCAAGAGGGAGGATCACAGTTTGAAGCCAGTGCAGACAAATAGTTCATAAGACCCTATCTCCAAAATACTCAACACAAAAAGGGGCTGGTGGATGAAGAAGAATGAAATCTTATCATTCACAAGTAAATGGACAGAACTGGAGAACATCTTCCTAAGCGAGGTTAGCCAGGCTCAGAAGACCAAAAATCATATGTTTTCCCTCATATGTGGACTTTAGATCTAGGACAAAGGCAGTAATGTTGTTGGACTGGGGTCACTCGCTAAGGGGAGAGCACATATGGGAGGAATGGGGCTAGGTAGGAAACCCAAAACTTCAAAGTGTTCGATGTCCCCAGGCAGAGGAGCTCATACAGTAACCTTAAAGCAACAGAGGTCAATATGGGAAGGTGACCAGGAAATAATGAAGAGTCTGGTAGAGATGAATCAATTTGGGTTGTAATACACTTGTGCATGGAAGCAGTGCTAGGAATCTCTCTGTATAGCTATCTTTATCTCAACTAGCAAAACCGCTATGTCTTTCTTATTATTGCTTATGTCTTCTTTTCAACAAAATTGGAGAAAAGGGCAGAACAGGTTCTGCCTGGAAGTGAGGAGGTGGGGGCGGAGTGGAAAGGGGCAGGGGGTAGGGGGAAGAAATTACACAAACAATGTATGCACATATGAATACATGAATAAAGAAAAAACCCAAAAACCAAAAAGGGGCTGGTGGAATGGCTTAAGTAGTAGAGTGCCTGACCAGTAAGTGTGAAGCCCTGAGTTCAAACCCCAGTACCGCCCAAAAAAAAAAAAAAAAAAAGTAAAGAAGAAGTCTATCGTCTATCACCAACTTGTCAATGATACAGTGAGAGAGACAATAAATGAATGAGAAATGAGAAATCGGTATCTATGGCACTTTTGGAGAAAGGACAACAGAACTACAGCATCTTTCACAGAAAGCAAAAGAGAACTCAGAGCATCAACAGATCACGTATAAGTGACTGAGGGAGTTTCAAAAACACTTGGGTTCTTGAGGAAAATTTAAATGATTCACTAAGTAACTTCCACAGGGAAATAACTCATCAGACAGGAAATGCTATACTCAGTAATGAAAGAAAAAAAATCAAATATAGAGAGTTGTAAACTGGTCACAACCAGGTGTAACATTTCAGTTTACTCTAAAATTTAACATAACTGATACTTAATTATGTTTTCTCATATGAAGAAAACATGACTATCAGTATATGCATTCCTACAGGAATATTTGTACATCAGGAAAACACACTTCAGCCCAGTAGCCAAGTAATCCAAAGGCAAGATCTCAAGCCTGAGTACCCAGTTGTACAAAGTCAAAAGAAATTCCAAAGACCATTACCCTGAATGGGCAGGCTCAGAAAAATAGTTCCTAAACTTGTTGAGTATGAAATACATACCACGGCCATTCAGCAAAATAAAAAAAAAATGCTACAAGTAAAGTTCAGAAAAGATATTAACTGAGCTCATGAGTAGAAAGGTGAGAAGTATGGCGCAGCAAATACACTAAGTAAAAAATTCAAAATTCTAAGATAAGAATTACTCAGAACAAGACAGCAGATACTTCCTAAATGGAGTGTCATTTCTTCATGAAGACAACATATCTGTAGAAAAATTAATCACTCGAACCTATACCATACAGTTGAGCAAAATAAACAATAAAGAACACTCTAACTTGACTAATTTCACACTAAATTGCACCATCAAGATTCCTTAACAAAGATGTGAAAGCCAACCATTACACCTAGACTTCAGGTGAGAATTCTTCCAAAGAGCTCAAGAGAATACTTCAAACAGAACATAATCCAGAATTCAAAGAACTAGAAAAATTGATTCAGAAGTATTTTCCAATTAATGACAAGCTGTTCTGAATCCAATAAAACACATATTTGTATCAGAAGTACATAGCTACCTCTTCCAGGTATTCTAGACACTGAAACAGGCCAACCAATGATTCTAAAAGCACTGGTTAGGTTGAGCCCACTGAGTTGTTTAAATGAAAGTCAGTCCTATTTAGAAAAGCAGTGTGGTAAGCAACATTTATGGGATTTTAATTTACATTTTAATAACTTACAAAAAATAAGACTTCAACATGAACTAAATGAGACTTCAATTAGTTGTCCCCAAAATAGTCATGCCACATACAACATACATTAATAATTTCATTGAAAACATCATACTAGGAATACTCTATCTTGCTAGACTCTTTTCACTAGTCAATTTGGCACTCATTAAAGAGGATTAGCAATGAGGAAAGTGACAAATTCTCCACCACAAACTACAAACCAGGCAAAGAAGGAAACATAAAAATTGCATGAATCTGTGCAAACATGTACAAAAGAGGCAATACATCACACAGTTGCCTTGTGCCTCAGTTTTTGTTCACTGTATTGACTATTAACTGCTGAGATTTCCCATGTCCAATTTGTCCACATGTTCTTTTTATCAATAGGCAATATTATGCGTATAGTTCAACACAATAGGAAAGATTCTAACACTGTCAAAGAATGTTGACTACTGCCAGGCAGCAGGTAGCTCCTTACTACTCAGGAGGCAGAGATCAGGAGGATCATCTGAAGTCAGCCACAGGGCAAATAATTCACTAGATCTTATCTCAAAACACCCCATCACAAAAAAAGGCTGGTGAGTGACTCAAGCAGTAAGAGCACCTGCCTAGCAAGCACAAGGCCCTGAGTTCAAACCCCGTGCCGCCCCCAAAAAACCAAAAGAATGTTGACTACAGAAAAGGTGACATATGAGCTGAGTTCTAATTAATCATTCACCAAGTTGGAGGTGGAACAGGAGTAGGAATGGCACTGAAAATGACGTACAACTAGCTTTATTACAGAAGTAGACATGCCTAGCTTAAGGACAGCAAACTTTAAGGAAGTTGTGGGAACTTCATAGAATGTACTCATACAAACGTAGAGGTTACAGGGCAATCACTCAATGTGAGGCAATCAAAGGACACCGTAAGCAAAGGATTTGTATGAGGCTATTGCAGGCATTAACCTGGCAAGATGTTTTACATCAAACTTTTTGCATGAGGAGTATGCGCTAACACGATTAAATGTGTAATAAAATACCCAATCCGATAGCGATAGTGGTTATTATTAAAAAGTATCATGCTCTGCGTGAACTTCAGTGCCATACTTTTCTGCAGCACAGTAGGTTCGCTTACAGCAGCATCACTACAAACACCAAAGATGCACTACTGTGCCAGATGTCATGATCCAATCTCTCAGTTCCATTACAGTCTTAAGGGATCTCCATTGCATATGACCACTTTCTGTGCATCTGTATGACTGTACCGGCAGAGGCGAGCGGGTAAGGGAAGGGAAGGCAGAGGGATGTGGTAGCAATTGAGGATAACAGTATGGATTAAGAGGTGATGAAGAATGGCCTTGCTGCACACTAAGCTAAGGTATTTGAACATTACCTCATTGGACAACAGGAACCTACCATATATTTTCAGACGAAAACTCCTATCAGATGTCTTTTAAGACTATGGTCTTGGGCAATATATAACAATACTAACACCCAAGTTAATGTGAGACATGAACGAGGACTCCACCTTGAAAGACTATCACGAAAGGGACAATATGGAGAGCGACATCCAATCATTTCCTATTTCTGCCACACGTGCTGCACTCCAGCCATCCCAAACAACTTGCAATTGCACCAAGTCCGACGCGCTCACGCTCCCGGGCTTTGGCGTGCTGTGCAGTCTACCCAGCGCCTTCTGAGTGCGGACGAGGGGGCCATTCTTAAGGACCCTTACTTAAGGGCCACAGGGCTGACTGGACTGAGATTTCAGGGTCACTGTCACTACTGAAGTGTCCTCTAAAGGGATAAACACCGCCCAGAGCCCCGGAGGGCTCGGACCCCACGTCGCGACCGGGGCTCGAGGCTCCCCGCAGAGCCCCAGGGACCGAGGCAAAGGCAGGGCCAGCTGCTCGAGTCAGTGCTCGGCCCAGGACCGGCTCTACGGGCTCTCAGCCGGCAGTATTACCTAGACAGGACCTCCAGGTCCTCAAGCGCCGACAACAGCCGCTCTCGCGTGCTGTTGCCGCTCGCCGATCCCGAGACGCCTCCCAGTCGGTCCTTCTCCTTCTCCACACTCGAAGAAGCCGCCATACTCCCGGTGGTCAACAACGGCGCATGCGCAGTGAGCGGTGGTCGCCGGGGCAGGGGGAACGGGAAGCGGAAGGAAGGATCACTGAGACGCAGGAAGAGAGGTCCTGCCAGAGCGCCCTCTCCCTTCCTGGAGGCGCACTAAGGGCGCTGGCGCCACCTGCTGGGACAGGTAGGGATTCCAAGGTCCAAACCAGTAGAACAAGAGATTCAGTGCGACCGGGTTCTCGTGGGTGATGGGTTTTCCAGCAGCTCTGGGATGCTTCTGACAAATGGGTTTTAAGCATCTGAAGGAATTGCATAAGTCAGTCTTTTCATGAGATCTTCACAATCCCCGCAGTACTAACCTCTCTTACAGGTGTATCCCCATAATTTTAATTTCAACCCTCTTGTTCAGCCTCTGATGGAGGCTATAGTAAGCATCTTAGGGCCAGAACCATAATCACGTTGTCTATTTTTATTGTAGAAAATACACATAAAATGTACTGTGTTAACCACTGTAAGTGTAGGGTTCCGTGGCAATAAATAATTCACATTGTTAAACAACCATCCATCTCCAAAACTGTTTTCATCTTGTAAAACTGAAATTCTATGCTCAAGAAACATGGACTCCTCATTGCTCTTTCTAGCCCCTAGCAACCACTATTCTACTTTTATTTCTATGAGTTTGACTACTCTAGGTACTGGGTTTGGGTCCGATCACATCATGGTTGTCTTTTTGTTTCTGACTTATTTCACTAAGCATAATGCCTTCATGATCATCTCCACTGAGACATGTGTCAGAATATCCTGCCTTTTAAAGGCTGAATAATATTCCATTGCATTTGCACACCATATTTTGTTTATTCATTCATCTAGCAATTGTTTCCATGGTTTATATAATTCAACTTTATACCCAGCCATCTTTCAACAAGACATTTTTGTTGGTTGCTTAGATGTTTAACTGAATGTATCAGCATCATATGTGAGTGGCTGTTAAAGAAAATAGTGTAAATAATTGATCCAGTACACATTCCAAATCAGTAATGGGTATCAATGTTGAAGATGTAGCTCAACCCACTTCTTGGGGAGAGCAATGTAGTAAGGAACTATCCCTATGACGAAAACCCAGAGTTACAGCTCTGTTGGGAGTGGGGCTTCTGTCTTGGGCCACATTGCTATTATATGAGATGGAGATGCCATCTACCATCACCCACTGGGAGTAGGGCAGTGAAACCTGTGTTCCCTTCATTTCAGGTCTCATCCTGTCATCTGTCCACTGGAGACTGACTTCTGGGTACCCAGAACAGACTGTTCCCTAATTAAGGACTCATGTTCAACACATTCTGTCATAGCACTCACTAACAGTGAAAAGTAATAGTACTTACACGTTTCCCACACACAAACCTACAGGGAAAGTCAATCATCTTAGAATGTTGGTTGGTGAACTTGAATCAGAACAGATGAAGACAGGTTAAAAAAAAAACAGTGATGCAATCATGACGTTGTGATCACCACAGCGTAGAGATATTTGTGTTAAAGAGATTGGAATATTTAATTCACAGGTCAGGGTGCCATCTCCCAGATGACCCATGGATACCTTTTGCTTCTAACCATCCCTGACTCTTACTAACTTCTTGTTAATGCAGTAAATTCTCAGGCAATGGAGTAAATGAGATTCAAGCTTCCTTAATTACAGTTGCATCCCTGGCATGCCTCCCAGCACCCTAATGAATTCTTTATGTTAAGTTTCCAGACTGCCAAACTCCTACAGTATGTGTTTGTTTTGTTTACTCACCTCTAATAGGGTCATCTTGTGCCACAATTCTAGTGTGGGGCAGGAGAAAATAATAGCGTATCTTCCACATAAATTTCTAGGGTTTCAACAAGTTAAAAACGACTGGTTGCAGGTGCTACTTTCATAGGTTAAGGATTGGTGTAGGAGCATACATGTATTGTGGAGTCTAAATGTCCTCAGATTTTTTGCAAATTCATATGCATATTGAACAATGTCTGTAGACTGATACGTAATAGCACATCCCACGGGTATACCTTCCTGGTGTGGTGAGCAAAATAAGGAATTTTTTGATAAAGTATTTCTGAATTCATGGTAATGTCAAGTGTTAAGTGTTCGCTTAATCTTTAGATTCATGGAGGGCCCTACTTTCTTGTGAAGTTTTATTTATTTAACATGCCAAGCACTGCATCAAGCACTTTAAAAATATTAGCTCATTTAATTTTCAGGACACTCCCACGAGGTGAGCACTGTCATTGTACATATGTTACAGATAATGAAATTGGGGACAGAGATTACAAGATGTGCAGGGTCCTGCAGTAAGTGACAGTGCTTCAATTTGCTCTGAGGCTGGCACTAGTGTTGGTGTGCGCTTCTCCACCGGTTATCCTGACAAAAGATTGGGAGTTTATGACCTGAAATACAAGCACTCTCAAGCACACCTTGAAATTTGGAGCAAAGAAAAAAGGTGGAGATAGGAGGTGGCAGCAGGAAGATCTGGAGTTTGAGTATAGCCTGACAAAGTTAAGTGGAGATCCTATTTGAAAAACAACCTAAAAGCAAAAGGACTAAAGGTTTATATCAAGTGTTACAGCATTTGCCTAACAAGCACAAGGCCCTAGTTCAATCTCCAGAGCTACCAATAAAAGAAAGAAAAGAAAAATGTTTCAGGAGATAGATATGTGTAACATGATTTAAACATTACATACTTTATTCATGTGTCAAAACATTACATTTTATCCCACTAATATGTATAATTTTATGTTTTTATAATGCAGTTAAAAGAAATTTAAATTAAATAAATAAATCTGGGTCAAATAAATAAAATCAAATTGTGTTCAAAAGCTTCTAACAAAAACAAAGAAATAAAAGTTATCTGCCACTGCCTCTCAGAGCCCCACATTCCTCTTCTTAGAGGGAGGCACTCTCAATATTTTTAACTGTTTCTTTTTTACCATTTTCTCCCATATTTTTAAAAATATGCAAATATGCTTTATCTTTATTTGGCTCATAAATATGTATATATATTTTTTAATTAATTAATTTTTTGTGGTACTGAGTAGGTACTCTATCACTTAAGTCACACTACCAGCCTAAATTTACTTCTTTCTAAATATGATGAGCAAGGATTTTATCTCTCATCCATGCCCTGTTCCTCCTCCTCTATCCTCTCAGTAGTTAGGACCCATTTTTTTGCCAAATTAATATTCAGTGCTTATATTACTACACACTATAATTACATATAGCTATGTAATTATTATTTGCTTTAGAGGTTTAGCAGAAAGAGCTCTCTTGCTATATATATGTATATATATGTATATAACTTATATATATATGCATATATACATATATATAATTTTTTGGCAGTACTGGGGTTTGGACTCAGAACCTTGTGCTTCCCAGGGAGGCACTTTACCACTTGAGCTGCACTCTAAGCCCTCTGTAGACATTTTAAAAATAAAAGAGAAGAGAATTGAAAACATCACAGTACATGGCACTGCTCTGTAGGAACTTTTCTCATTTATTTGTATATGTGTGTGTGAGAGAGAGAGAGCAAGAGAGAGAAATGGTCAATTTTTTTTTTTACTGTGAATAAAAAAGTGTGAAAGCTTTAGAAGTAGGACTTCTTAAAAAGTGATTATGTCTGGGAATGTAGCTCAGTGGCAGAGCACTTTCCTAGCATGCACAAAGCCCTGTGTTGATTCCCCAGCACCACACACATACTAAAAAGGAGTGATTAAGTTAAAATGAGGTTTCTGGGGGCTAGGGTCCTAATTCAATATGACTGGTGTCCTTATAAGAAGAGGAGTAGGCATTAGAGATGTGTGTGCACAGAGAAAAGACCCTGTGAGGACACAGGGAGAAGGTAGCCACCTGTAAAGCCAGAGGGACCTCAGAAAAACCAAACCTGCCAACATCCTGATCACAGACTTTGCGTGTGTGTGTGTGAGGACAGGTGTTGCCCATCTGTAGGAACATGAAGTCATTTAATCACTGCCTTGCATACAACTTTCTCCTTGGTGTCCCATCAAGGGGTCTTACTCCCCTGGTGAGACCACCCGCTGGGTTGAATGCAGCTTTGCTACCTCATACCTATACCAATGCAGCTGATTACACAAGCCACATGGTCTTTCTGTTCACTAAACCCCAGATATCTACGGGGGCCTTAATGCTACTGGACCGTTCCCTGTTCTAAGTCCTTTCCACTGTCCTCGACATAATCTCACATCATTGCCTCTCTCCAAATACCCAACATTTTCTTTCCCCTCCCCTCTCTCAACTTAGGATCTTGCTTCACTTGATGCACTGAGAGAAAAATCAGAAGAGAGGACTTCCACAAACTGTCGCCATCATCATGTTTGCCCACACACTCACCCCATTATACCCACAAGGTCTGCTGTCTGCTCTGCACATGACTGTCCACCTCCCCTCTGCCTCAGTGATGAGAGGTGGGACCTTTAGGATGTGGTAGGGAGCCCTCAGAAGTGGATCTTCTGAGGTTTTTGCAAGAGTGGGTTTGTCATGAAGTAGTGACTCCTTCTCTCCAGCAGGTGTACCCTCCACCCTTCTGTCAGCAAGAAGGACCTCATCAGACATAATCCCTTGATCTTGGACTTCCCAGCCTCAAGAACCATAAATCAAATAAATTTATATTTATTATAAATTATTCATCCGCTACAGCAGCAGAAGATGGACTAAGACACCCAAAGAGCGCCAGTCTCAGCCATGACCATGTTTGTGCAAAAATCAGCATTATACTCAGAAATTCTGCTGTTCACTGCACAGGTATGCATGTATGCACCTGAATGAAGAGAAAAAAGTAGGCACTGATAAATATTGAACTTTTTGTTGACTGTGATGCTGAAGTCACCAGAGACAGAGCACAAAAGGAAACAGAGATGCCAAATACAAAGTATAACTATCTAGTCATCTATAGTTTCTCTCTAAATGGAAAAACCTTACTTTTGATGTCTTTTCTTCATATTCTCCTTGAGATCCTTAAAAACAGATTCATAAATGTAAAACAGCCTCACC